GCAATAATCCTTGCTTCATCTGCTCAGCTATGGTGGGTGACATTTCATGAAATGAGGCTGAACTGGCAGTTTCCGTCAGAGAGGATTCCTCTCAGAAGCATCAGTTTTTGCATCACTGACCTTATACCTGCCAAGTGTAGAACTTGAGACTTACGCTCTTAGTCAAATCATGACGGTGTTATTAGTCATCAAAGAAAATTTGCAGGAAGCCACGCATTCTAGCTGAGAGTATGAGCTTTCCCTCCTGAACTCAAATTTGTGACATTTCAGAAAACCTTTCAGTACAATCAAAATGGGACTTGGTTGCCTAATGGCACAAATATACTCTTGCAAGTGGGTGGACTTCACTGGCATGCAGGGAGAGCAACCTTGAAAGGTGCAAATGGCTTTTAAATTCATTTTGAACAAGGTTACTTTGCTTCTTACAAAACAGGTGGGTTGATCTTCTTCCTTTCAGGTAACCACATAAAGAAACAACCTCCTATACAATGGAGCTGTAAATCAAATACACTCATAGTGTTGCTTCAGTAACATCCTGTGAATCTCTCCTTAGGGACTCTTGGAGATGATGAACCAGACAATTTTGACATTGATTGCTTCAGCCAGCTGGAATTTAAGGACTCCCTTAGTAGCCTGACCTGCAATTTTACTGAGCTGCCCCCTCACAACACTAACTATACCCTGTCTCTGTGGTAAGTGCTGTCAGTCTGTCCTTCAGTAAACTTCTAGGAAGTGAATGCTAAGCACTAGTGAGTCACATTGCCACATGTGGGAAACAGGGACAGCAAAGCTAGACAAAATTATTTTTCAATGTTTTACCATGTTTTAATACTACGTTCTGCAAAGAAGAAGAGTTTGCTGAAACAAAACATCAGAACTCTGTGATGAGAAGAAAGAGAGCTGGAAGGATCTCTAAAGGGGATTGTAATATCTCTCATAGTTCTGACCTTGCCTATGTTACTCTGAAACACCAATAATTATGGATGTATCTCAGCATGAAATGAGAAATTTTTCCTGTAAATTAAACGATAGACCCCACACCTGGCCTTTATCAAGTGAAAAGTAAAAAATGCTTTTGAAGATACAGATACTTGTGACAGAAGATTTTTTTAGCTGGAAGGTTGATTTTCTGTGTCAGAGAAAATGCCTTTATTTAGGTTAAGGCAAAAACTAAGGTGTTATCTTTGCACACACACGCATATGAAAAGCACATTAGAACAAGTGTACAAAACCCCAACCATTACCAAACACAGCAGTCATTTCTACTGCTTGTCAAGGATTAAAACTCCTTTTTTTTCCCTGTTGCAGCTAGATGAAGAAGCTCAAATGTTGTATCTTTAGCATACTTCTGCTTTTCCCTTTTCCTGTTTTTCCTGAAACTGAATGTTCTGTGGCAGCCAGCAAAAGAAGTGAATTTTGAAAAAAAAATCTTAGCATTCTAATCACTAATTAATTTCTTTTCTTCCCCCTGCAAAGAAAAAATTTTTTTTTCTATTTTCATGGGATTTTTTATGGATTTTGACTGGAACTTTATGAGAGTGCTCAAACATGAGAGCCACAGATGGAAAAACACAGCTCTGAAACTGACATATGACTCCTTCCATGGCCAGGCAGACTGTTGACCCTGTATTTGCCACCACTTCAGTCAATAAGAAATTTCTCTTTATCTTCACTGAGCATCAAAACACATTGCCCTATATAAAAAAACAGCAGCAGCAACATAATTTTTTGAGATACAAAGGTTTTAACACAGAAATTTCCAGTTAAATAATAAAGTTTTTTCTTGAAGACCTCCATGACTTTTAATGTGACTCACATCACTTGATTATTGTGTTCCACAAGGAAAACCACTATAAATCTCTGAAATATAAATCTCTCCCTATGTGCATGGCATTTTTATTTCACTTGGAGTATCACTTCAGTGAAAGTGAAATGAGCAACTGGGATTTGTCCCTTATAGAAAGTAGTTCAGTTACAGTAAGGCTGAGTAGAAATTAATGTTGTGTCACTTTGGCCAACAGTACCAAGGAAGACCGCAATTACATGTGCTTTAATATGGAGAAACAAGAAGATGCATACTTCTTAGAGTTCACTGATATACTCTCAAATACAGACATTTGCATGGACTCTGAGGCAAAGAGAAGGGTCTGCAGACGTCTGGTTGTAACTGACATTGGTAAGACATTTAACATTTTGCATGTTTTTAAGATACAGGGGGTGTTGGGGAATAAAACAGCCCAGCACAAAGTCTAAGCATCAATGTGGATGACATAGAGACAGTACAGAATAGTGTCTTAGCAGGGCATGTTGCCTGGATCAGGGTGTTATCAGTGTGGTGTTTCCCTTGCTTCAAAGCCAAAAATGATTAACCTGCATTCAAAATGTGCAGCTGAATTCTGACTTACTGTGATGCTCTGCCTAGACCTGGACACAGGTCAAATCCTGTCCGTGGGTGAAGCAGCTGTTCCTGAGTGTGGATGGACAGGCAGGGACATTTTGTTCATCTCTTACTACTGTCACTGAAATTGGGAATAAAACTCCTTAACATCCATGTAGTATTAAGAAACAGCGTTCCTTCATTGCAGCACTGGATGCATGGGGGATGTTCCACCTAACGTGCATGCCAACCATCAAAACTTTTTACTATTTACACATTTCAGCAAGCAGAGGAATCAGTGCTCACTGGCTAAAAGTTACCTAATTCCCATAGATTAGCACTCTACTTTCTATTTCTTAGTTATTTTTCATTTCTTATGCTAATTATTTCCCAAAAATCATTACCATAATCTCATCCTTAATTATCATATCCCCTCCCACAGGCACAATTAATTGAGGCAGTGGTCTTTGAGGGTCTCCTGCTACCCTGGAGGCCATTTTTGATTCTGCCCTTTGGTTGAACCTTTATTCTTGGCCACAGTTTCTTCTCGGAATGTTCTTTAGCGGGTGTTTTCCTGAGTCTGCCTGCATTTCATGATCAGACTCTCTTGTACCAAAACAGGCTTAATCCAAAGATATATATATCTGATTTGGGTCTAATGAATGTCCAAACAGCCTTGGTTATTTTTGCACCTGGTTACACTAGGGATTATGCAGACTTGGGACTGACCACCACACATATAGCGTCAGCTCAGTAGCACAGGAACCACAAGGGTGCAGGGCCTCATTTTTTCACACCTTGCATCATGGTGCAGTCTTTTGTCTGAACAAGATGCATCCTGCACTGAGAACCCGTGAATGGGCTGGACAAAGCCACGCCAGGGCCCTGCCCAAGTCAAGAAATAGGAAACTCAAGGGGAAGAGTGGGTTCACAAAATTTACCTCTCTTGGGATCTGGTCTCATTCAAGGGCTGCAGAGAAGCCCATGTAGGATAGCTTCTTCTCTGTTCTTCTCTGGTGCCACATTACTTTGTCTTTCTTGGACAGCAGGCACTGCTACATCCCTCTCTTGCAAAATATTTCTGCCTCAGTTCAATAGTTTTGTAATAATCTTACATTACCTCTCAGTTTATGGCCCATCCTGGACCATCTCTAGTGCTCCCTACTCTAGAAACTGCAGGATCTGCATGGAAGGACGAAGTATTTGGGGTCTGTAGAAGGAGTGAGCATAATTTGTGGCTATATGCATTTTCCTGAGAGGAGAGAGGTGTGGGATTTCTGTTTCTGTGAGAGCAGGTGAATTCAGGAAGCCTCAGTGTCACAGGCACAGGCCCTTACCAGTCAAACTGCTACTCCAGCAGGTCAAAATGAAGTCTCTCTCAGGATCAGGGTGTAAGGATGAGCTAGGGCTCAGCATGAGGCTTGCCCAGCTCAAGACAGCCCTTGCACAAGATAGGTCACCCTGCAGCGGCTGTAAATTGAAATGGACTACTTTTTTTTACTTTTCAAAACCTCTTTATTTTCTAGTAACATTATTCTACTCCTGTTATACCTTTGCAGTTAAACCTGAAGTACCATTCGCTATAAACATCACATACCAAAGGGAGGCAAACGAGTATCTTATTCGTTACAGTACACCACACTCATGGAAGAAATACCTAAGGGACAAATTAATGCACCAAATAGCCTATCGGCAGAAAGAAGATACTTGGAAGGTAAGTCATGATGTATTGGCATGCTTACACTAATATCCAAAATTAAATGTAATCAAAATTTCCAGTACCATGTAAAATCTGCGTTTCTACAGTTCTCCAGCTGAAAACTTGGAAAGGTGCAATATTTGGCATTTGGAAATTTCATGAGTTAGAACAAGTCCTGACTGACAGCACCCTTCTCAGTTAGACACTTCTCTGGGCTAATGAAGTTCCCTTCTTTTGGGCATTGCAGTGGGAAGGCAAGACAAAATGTGGCGAACCATTCTAAGTGTCTGGATGTCTTGCTCTTTGCTGTGGTGGTTCTTCTATTCTGTGCTCATCAAGTCAGTAAAATGTATGAATGACCCCTTGTCTTATTTAGCAAGTTTCTTCATGTCCTCTTTTTCACTGAGTCTTTCCAAGGCTTCAGGTGCCCTGCAGCTCTCCCACCCTCAGACTCTTTCAGGCTGCAGCTGCCTGTGAGCTGGATCTATTTTGGGCTGCCCAGCTGCAGGGTCCTCTGTGCCCCCTGTCACAAGGGCAGATATGCAAATGCTAATCATGAGGTTTGAAATCTTGGACTATACCTGTTTTTCTACAGAGGGAACACAGGAGTCCTATAACTAGAAGATTAAAAAAAAAACCAAAAAACCCAACCAAACAAAACCAGTATTCAGGGAGCCAGATACATAGAAATGAAGATCACCAGAGCTGCACTGCGGGATTTCAGCATCTTCACTGTGTCTGCTCTTTCAGAAGTTGTCTTTCTATGCGCACAAATGTATTTTCTCCCCTCTCTCTTCTGAGCCTTCCCAGGGAAGCATATATTTCCCACTGCAGTGTCAGCAGTCGCAAAGCACGGTTAATACTGCCAGCTGTTTTTCAAAGAGCTTTTACCTCGCATTTGTCTCCCTTCTCGATGCTGTGTGGACTACCTTGCTGATAAACTATGCTGACGCTTGATGAGCACCTGGGAAATAACCAAAGACATGGAACAAACAGCACGGCATTGCAGGGATGCACCTGATCTCAAATATTTTGCTGAAAGTCAAAGATCAATTTCCAGGGTCTGCTAGAAAAATAATTGGATTTTTTTTTTGTCTGTGTTTAGACAATAAATTCGCCATACCTTCAGATAAAATTGCTGGGAAAAAACCTCAAAACTGATGCATTGTATGAGGTGAAAGTACGTTCACAGCCCTATGGAGATTTTTTTAAGGGCACATGGAGTGAATGGAGCACTTCCAAAAGCTTCAGGACAGCAAGAGAGCAGCACTCCGCAGAGAACTGCAAGGGCAGAAAACGCTTTGGTCCACATGGAGGAAAGCAGATCTGGGGGCTCTGGACTCCCTGTCCAGACCCAGAAGCAGCAGGTATGAGAATATGGGGAGAGAAAAGCCCATGGCCACACCAGGGTGAGCCCTTACAGACACTGGGCACCCCAAGGACGTGACTCAGAAAGCAGCTACCTCACCCTGGTCTGGACTCTGAAGTTTAACTCTGAAGTTAAATCTCACTCATGGGCAGTAGGGTCAGATGAAATGCTGCTATAAAGGCATGGGGGAGTGAGTGCAAAGGGGGATTAAGGCTGACTCACTGGTTGCTGGCTGCCAACTTGCTGAGAGAAGGAACAGCTTGCACTGAGCATTTTAGGTAAGGCACAAAGCTATGAAATGTGACCCACTTGGGCCTTGGATTTATGTGTGAACATGGCACTTCAACCACAAACGCAATATGGGATAAGAACTCATCACTGCACTTGTAAACATGAAAAATTCTTGTGGTCCTTGGAGTCCCTTTAGTCCCCAGGGGCACCTCAGCATTATGTGTGTTAGAAGTCATTTCAGTGCTGCTATAAGGACACAGAAAGTGGAAACTTCAATGCACTGGAGGTGGTAGCTGACTTCAAACTGCTTTAATCCAGCCTGGGAACCCAGGTTGGGCCTCAGCCAAGTGCTGGTGCTCTGGCAGCCTACCCTTTTCCCTCCTCCAGGGAGGCAGGAGAAATGAAACAGCGCACCAGCCCAATTATAGGCAAATGTAATGCTTGGCATTAATTCCTAAGTTATTATCTGAAAAGACATCACAGTTACAGTGGCTTAACAGTGAGAGATATTTACCTGCATTGGCTGATGTTCTTTGTTTTCCTTTAGATAGCAGTATGGTCATGGTTATACTCTCCATCCTGGGATTCATGCTGTCCGTTGTTGTGATTGCACTGATCATAATTTTTTGGGAAAAGAGGTAATCTAAGTCTCCTTGTGTCAGAAAAATTGTTGAAACCAGTCCTCTTCTGACAGTCTTACTGCTTTCCCAATTGTACTTGTGAACTGTTCTCTTTCCATCTCTGGACCTTTGTACCAGGCTGAAGGTAGGCAAAAAGTAGAAATGGCCAATACAAGAGGCGGTGTTGGCAGGCCAGATGACCTGCCACTTTGTGCAAACTTCAGTCTTGTGTTCAAAACACTGGGACTTTTGGCGAGACAAAGTCACCACAAAACACTTACAGAGTCAAATGTCCCACTGGAGATAAATTTGACTCAAAAACTTCATGCAAAATCCAGAAAAGAAAGTGACCTGTGGGTTTTAGTAAAGTCCCAAGGGGTGTAAAAACAGCATGCTGTGAGATTGCCT